TCTAAAATCAAGCTGTAACCCAAGCACCTTGGGCACATGTTCTCAGGATGTTTTGAGAGTCTGCATCGGGACTTGCTCACTCCTATGTTGTATTTGACCGGAGCGTAGAAAGTTATCACAAGACAAAAGTATGCCAGATTGCAGGGTCATTTATTATGCCGGCGACCACAGAGGACTCACGTCTCTCCAACCTGTGGTGGCAAAAGGAGGGTGCCACGATTTTTTATACCCAAAAAACCACCTTTGGGAGTGGGGGTGAGGGGCGGGGATGGGGATGAAAAGGCTTCAGACATTCCGAGGGCTAGTGGATTCCGTAAATTACCTCCTGGGCAGAGATGAGGGTGGGGGTCTCCGGACATTCCAAGGGATGGGGACTTTTGTCATTCCGTTTGTTACTTAAGTGGTTTACAGAAGTCAAGATAAACATTTGTTTACACATTATCTGGTTAAGGTGGAAATCACAGACCTTAGTTACTTATTACAAGTCACAGGAGCCAGGATGGAACTAGCTTGGGCTGCTTAGTCTGGCAATTGCCGGTAAGCAAAGGCTAGCAATTCTGGCAGTTACTGATAAGAAAAGGTAAGCAGCTTTACATAGTGGCTAGTTTGCAAAGCAAACTAGCAGTTTTATTTACAGTAGCCAAGGCTAGCAGTTATTGTGAGGAGAATGGGGCAGCCATTTCAACTTATCTAAAAACAGTTTTGCATTTTATAAAATAGTTTTGCTCTGGTTCTGGCTCTAGGCCAGCACAATATCACACCTATGTGGCTCAGAATAATTTCCTCAAGTGTTTCATGGAGTTTGACTCTTTGTTGCCAACTTTTTGTTCTATATGTAATCGTCATTTTTTTTTTTTTTTTTTTTTGAGACAGAGTCTCACTCCGTTATCCAGGCTGGAGTGCAGTGGTGTGATCTCGGCTCACTGCAACCTCCGCCTCCTAGGTTCAAGCAATTCTACCTCAGCCTGAGTAGTAGCTGGGACTACAGGCACTAGCCACTACGCCTAGCTAATTTTTGTATTTTTAGTAGAGACGGGGTTTTACCATATTGGCCAGGCTGGTCTCAAACTCCTGACCTTGTGATCTGCCTGCCTCGGCCTCCCAAAGTGCTGGGATTACAGGCGTGAGCCACTGCGCCCGGCTAATCATCATATTTTTTAAGTTTATAAAATTATATCTCTAATATGTGGAGCAAGCATTGAACTAAATGCTGGAGACACAAAGGTGAATAAAATATGGCAGGAAAGAAATGAGTTAACAAATACACGTCAAGAATGTGGAGGCCGGAAAGTATTGCTTTCCCTGATGAACTAGCATAAACCTCTCTAACAATGTAAATCACGTAACTTGTGTTGCCCATTTTCCAGTGAGAGAAATCAAAATCACAGCTTGAGCAAACTAAAATAATAATAGGAATCATTGGCCAGGCGCGGTGGCTCATGCCTGTAATCCCAGCACTTTGGGTGGCCAAGGCGGGTGGATCACCAGATCAAGAGATAGAGACTATCCTGGCCAACATGGTAAAACCCCATCTCTACTAAAAATACAAAAATTATCTGGGCATGGTGGCAAATGCCTGTAGTCCCAGCTACTTGGGAGGCTGAGGCAGGAGAACTGCTTGAACCCAGGAGGTGGAGGTTGCAGTGAGCTGAGATCATGCCACTGCACTCCAGCCTGGCAACAGAGCGAGACTTTGTCTCAAAAAGTAAAATAAAATAATAGGAATCATTTTTCACTCATGAGATTATGAACAACACCTAGTGGTGAATAAACAAACACAATAAAGGGTATTATATTAAAAGTCCACCCAGTTTACCATTTAGGTACTATAGTAAAAGTCCATCCCGTTTACCACTTAGGGTCAAAAAATGTAGACAAGAAATTCCAACTGAGTCTTGCTAGATAAGCAACATTTGAAAGGAAGCAAAGGAAAAAGCAAGGAAGAAACATTAGCAAAACAAAGTTGTGGAGGAGAACAACAGCTTGGCTTATTCAGGGAAATTACAAGTAGCTCAAGATTTGAGCAGCATCATAGGAATGAGAAAGCTGGAGAGATGTGAAAAGGCCAAAATAACAGGCCTTTCTAAGAAGCTCAGGAGCTTGAACATCATCTTGCAGCTGACCACGGTCAAAATGATTGTAATGACGGTAACTAACATTCACTGAGAATGTGTTCTGGGCCAGGTGCTGTCATAACTCATCCTACAAGGCAGGTCTGTTTTTATGCCCTTTCTACGTATGAGGAAATTAAAGAGTGGGAGAGAAAAGCTGTTGAAGAATTTTAAGCAAGCATAGCATGTTAACATTTACATTCTTAAAACACATCTCTGTATATACTACAGATGAAATAATACATCTTGCCTTTGCTTCAAAATAAAAGAGTTTGTGGGTGAGGATATAAAGATTTCCACAACCTGATGTCGTTGAATCTAGGTGATGCATACTATTATACTAATCGCTCATCTTTTTTTTTTTTTTTTTTTTAGATGGAGTCTCTCTCTGTCGTCCAGGATGGAGTATAGTAACAAAATCTCAACTAACTGCAACCTCCACCTCCTGGGTTCAAGTGATTCTCCTGCCTCAACCTCCCAAGGAGCTGGGATTACAGGCGTGTATCACCACTCCTGGCTAATTTTTGTATTTTTTAGTATAGATGGGGTTTCGCCATGTGGGCCACACTGGTCTCGAACTCCACTCCTGACCTCGGGTGATCAACCCATCTCGGCCTCCCAAAGTGCTGGGAATACAGGTATGAGCTACCACGCCTGGCCTCATCTTTTATATATTTGAAGTTTTGCATAATAAAAGTTTAAAATAATCTCTGGCTATAATGTGGAGATCCGATTGAGAAGCAGGAAGTGGGAAGTAATAAAACCAGTTAGAGGATTGTTTGATAAGTGAAAGCTGATGAGAGCTGGGAAAGTGATGGTAGGCTAGAGAGGACAATCTTTTTAATTAAATTTTCAATTTCTGTGGGTACATAGTAAGTGTACATATTTATGGGGTATATGAGATATTTTGATACAGGTATGCAATGTGTAAGAATTACATCATGGAGCCGGCTCAGTGGCTCACATCTGTAATCCCAACACTTTGAGAGGCCAAGGCGGGTGGATTACTCAAGGTCAGGAGTTCAAGATCAGCTTGACCCACATAGTGAAACCCCATCTTGACTAAAAATACAAAAATTAGCCAGGTGTGGTGGCAGGTGCCTGTGATCCTAGCTACTCAGCAGGCTGAGGCAGGAGGATTGCTTGAACTTGGGAGGCAGAGGTTGCAGTGAGCTGAGATTGTGCCACTATACTTCAGCCTGGGTGACAGAGTGAGACTCCGTCTCAAAAAAAAAAAAAAAAAAAGAATTACATCATGGAAAATGGGGTATCCATCCCCTCAAGCTTTTATCCTTTGTTACAAATAATCTAATTACACTGTTATTTTAGAATGTACAATTAAATTGTTACTGACTATAGTCACTTTGTTGTGCTATTAAATACTATGTCTTATTCATTACAGAGAAAAATCAGAAAAATATTGCTTGGTAACTATTCTTTGTGGTGGGGGGGGTAGAGGTAGAGAAAAAGTCTCAAGTTTAAAGTCAGTCCAAAGTACTTAGCTTGTGTGACAGTTAATGGAGAAGCTAAACATTACAGGGAACATATAAAGAGTGTTTGGGAACAGTAGAGGACAGGGTGTGGAAATGTGTCAGGTTTGGCATGGCAGGCAGGCACCTAGGCCAGCGGTCCTTTAACAAGAAATGTACATTGCAGGGGGAACGGTGGCTCACGCCTATAATCCAGCACTTCAGGAAGCTGAGGCAGGTGAACTGCTTGAGCCCAGGAGTTCTAAGACCATCTTGGGCAACATGGAGAAACCCTATCTCTACTAAAAATATAAGAATTAGATGGGTGTGGTGGTGTCCTCTGTAGTCCCAGCTACTCAGTAGGCTGAGGTGGGAGGATCTCTTGAACGTGGGAGATTGAGGCTGCAGTGAGCCACGATCACACCACTGTACTCCCGCCTGGATGACAGAGTAAGACCCTGTCCCAAAATATATATATATGTACATTGAATGTACCCCCAATGTAAACATACCTGTTTATGGCTGGGCATGGTGGCTCACGCCTGTAATCCCAGCACTTTGGGAGGCTGAGGTTGGTGGATCACCTGAGGTCAGGTGTTCAAAGACCAGCCTGGCCAACATAATGTAAGGCCATCTCTACTAAAAATTAAAAAAAATAAAAAAAATAAAAATAGCTGGGAGTGGTGGCAGGCGCCTATAATCCCAGCTACTCAGGAGGCTGAGGCAGGAGACTTGCTTGAACCCAGGAGGCAGAGGTTGCAGTGAGCCAAGATCACGACATTGCACTCCAGCCTGGGCAAGCAGACCAAAACTGTCTCAAAAACAACCAAAAAAACCCCCAAAATCCCATATCTGTTTATAAGTTATCTATATGATCCTCAGATGAATACATTATGGAACAAAAGTACTTTTTACACACCATAGAAGTTCTAATATTTCCTTCCCACAATCTAAAGGGCTGTATCTCATACTCTTAAGAATATGCAAATCCTGCTTTGTGGACCACTGATCTGTCAAGATGATGGCTTTGGGACCAAGATATTCAATCTCTTGAAACCTCAACTTACTTCCCTGTAAAATGACAGCTATTTTCCTCACAGAAGAAATTCTACGTATGTATAAGATTCTTTGTATATATACTGATGTCAGCACAATAACAGCACCGGGGGTCAGAAATGCTATCCACACCCCCACAGCCTATCTTCTCACCAAGCCTCTTGCCCCAGCCTCTATTTGTTTAAAATTTAAAAATGGAAAATACTTTGTTTCTTGTATAATTGTAACGGTGCAGGGATGCATACTTGGCTCCCTCCCCGTTCTGATGAGGTCCTTGGCCCTCTTACCTGGGAAGAATGGGGAAAGGGGCCCCGGAAGCGTGGTGAGCTTACGGAATAAATATCGTGGCCCCAAAGAGTTTTGCAGAAAAGCGATTTATGAGGCAGAGAGAGAGAAAGACAGAGAGAGCTCCCACACTGTTGTGGGATGGGAATCCGGAGAAAGATATCCATATAGGTAAAGAGCAGTGGAGTTTTAACCCTGGAGTTATTCTTTTCTCACTCCTGTTCTCGTCCAGTGAGAGTTCTTTCAAACATCCTCTGGAGTGATTGATCTTTGACTTTGATACCAGATTGGCTATCTGGTTCACAACTCTGAGCTACAGAGCCGGCTCCTCCCAGAGCTTTTGGCAGATTTTTGAACAAAGGAGCCCACCTGGATTTCTCTACCTAGCCTGCTCGAGAAACCGCAAGAATTTTACATCTGAAACGCCTCTGGTTCCCGGATGGAGGGGTGGAGCCAAGAAATTCCTGCCTTTGAAATCCCGCCCCTTGCAGACCAGGAAATTGTCCCTCATAATGACTTTGCAGATGCATTTAAGTATCATCCCAAGTAACTTAAGAACTCTTCAAAGGTGTGAGCAAGCACCTTATCTCATAGGTATTTGCTTGCCTCCATCCCATCCCCAAACTGGAGATGCAGCTATGCTTACAAACCGTACAGCTGGTCTGCTTAGGACAGATTACATATCCTCACTAGAAACACACACATCCACACACACTTAACAACCATCAGTAAGGCAAATGACTTTTAACCTATACTTTGTTTAAACAGAGGAAACTTCTTCGAAAGACTAATAAAAGTCTTCAGTTCACTAAATATTAGTGAGGATGGGGGGAGAGATGAATGGGATACATCAAAGATTTCAACTTGTCAATTTATCACTCAAAGTATACACAAGTACATCCTATGAGGCTCTGGGTAGCAAAATATCACCTTACAGCTCAAGATGGTCCCCCTCCAAACAGGGAAATGAGCCATAGCATGCATTTCATGCTGTCATAGAAACTGCCAAAAGAGAATTTGTAAAGAAGTTCATGGCTGTGGATCTCATTTCCTTGAAGAATTAGCTTGGCACCGGTTACAAGGAGTCGCAATGAGAGCCTGACTCAAATCCCTAACTCCCATTGAGGGGGAAAAAAATAAACATTAAAATACAAGACACAGAATTAGTAGCATCTCTGTAGAACAAATAACACATCTGTCTACCTTGGAGATTAGAACTGGATTCTCTATGCTACTCCCAGTAGAGTATAAAAATGATCTAGAGAGTTTAACAAAGAACAGCTAAAATTTAGATTCTGCTTCCATCATTTTCTCTACAGTAAGTTCCTATAAATTGTCACACTTCTGGGAACTGAAAACCATAGGCAAAATAAGCACATATAAGGCTTGGTGTCCGTTTCTGAAACGATTTAGCTGAAGCTAAGGACAAGGTGACGGCAAAAAGCTCCAAAAGCCTTGCCTTCAATTATTCACGTGATCCAATGCTGCCCTCTAGCAATGGGAGAGCCAAATAGCACTAACAAGTCCACTGGTTTCAGGAACTTCAGGTTTCAGCGTTAACATTATTTAACATGAAAAAAGCTGCTGAAAAAGGAGGATGTAGGGGAAGGGTATCCACAAGTAGATAGCAAGAGTTCACCTGAAGAGAAAATGTTCTTTTAGAAAAGTGCTGGGCTAAGTTAACGTAACCCACACCGACTGGACTGCTCTACGTCCTACATCCTCTCCAGTGGACCTAGGAGAGCTTTGAAGACACGAAGGACCTGGGACCTATTACTTCACTGGGCAGAGCTCCTCCCTGTTGCTGAAAAACCTCCCTCCTCCACCCTGACTTCTCTCTTCCATGTTTTAGTAGATGGTGGGGCGGAAAGCTATTAGACCTAACTTGATAGTTCTCGTAACACCCTCCCAACCCCTGTAACACTTCTTAAATGCATGACACAGTGTCAGTTTTTCCTAAGAAATGTAAGAACTAATTTCAAACAAGGCTATAAGAAAACTATAGAGCCAGCTGTCAACCTTGAAATCCAAACTAAACATTTAAGATGACATAACAAACAATTCCAGAAAGGGCTGTGGCTAATAATCCATAGGACAAGACTACCAGGTTTACTCTGCCTTCTCTCCAAATAACAGTAACAATGATTTGAAGTAATAAGCCCAGAAAAGCCTTTTGATTTCCAAAATCACCTTTCCTAAAAGACTTGGAAGTTCAAAGTTCACTATGTGACATTTCACTGCTCTCTTATCAAACCGACTGACCTCCAAATCTCATGAGACTATCTGTTAGCTGATACCCTGAAGCATGGAGAGATCTATGCAGGAAGGGGGAAAATACCCATCAGGGTTAGCTGTGAAGTATGAGAAAATCTGCTTATATTATTTTTAGCTACAGACAGGTGTTTCCAATTTTTCACGTTTAGTCTTAAATGCATCCAAGTTTGTGTGTGTGTGTTGGGGGTGGAGGGAAGAACCACATACACTTATTTTCAAACAAAAGCTGCCACATGTTTATTAAGACATTACTGGCTCTTAAGCACAGCTGGCTCTATATATCATTTTCCAAATATTATCACACATTCCAGAAAGTTTCTGAGACGGTATTATCAAGACAGGCTTCTCTTGTGACTCAACCAGACCTGAGGAAAGAACAAAAGACATTACATACCTGATTTATAGCTGCTGGCCATCAATAAACATGTGCTGGCAATGTAATCTTTAGAGGCAGGATAGCTAAACTGCTTTCCCCTCCTAGCTAAAGCTTTGCCCAAAATGCCTGTACCTTTAAAAATCCCTTTTCCTAATTAAATCCATCTGCATTCTCAAAGTCTCTCAACATTCATTAATCTCTGAGAAGACCAGTCAACTGTGTGATGAAGAGGCCAACTGCAAAGCTCAATCTCAGAACTACCACATCTCAGGCCTGAAAGGAAGCCAAGAGAAGGGACGGATGTTCTACGATTTTAAATACGGGGAAGCGGAATTAATGGCCAGCCCCATTATCTACTCCGTGAAATAGGCCAAACTGTTTGCCATCTCTCAAGAAACATATATATGATAAGAGGATTTAAGCCCATACAAGCCATAGCTATATCTGAAGATCCATCTCTCTGTGTTATTAAGTCTTTTGTGGATTAAACATGTTTGGTAATTACAATTTTGATGACAATTACCGAATGCAATACAGTATTAGATTTCAGACCTCAGAAGAACCGAGCCAGATTGTTGGGATTTGGGATAAGAAATTCCCAAGTAAGGTTCAAGTCCAGCTAGACAGTTCCTGATCTACTTCCATCCCACCCCTCTAAATAAAGATGCAGTAACCCAGGGGCAGAGAAACAAGGCTCAGCTAATGTGCTGCTTCTACCAACTAACAGCAATGGGTGTAACCTTAAAACCTGCAGAATTTGTAAGAAAAGGGTTTTCTTACTTTAAAGTCTCTTTAGAAGTCTGAGTAATGGTGCAACCTAAAAAAGTAAAAAAATAAGTCATCTAAACAACTTTGTAATTACCCACAGTATTTTCGATGAGATCACAGAATGGCACTTAGGAAGATTTTAGTGGCAAAAATAAGTAATCACAGGCAGTTAGGTTCAGACTCCTCCATCTGACAGTCCCGAGGTTCTGAATGTTATCTCAGATTTTTAGATAACATGAGTAAGCTTACTCCAAAGTTTCACGAGGTTTATGAAATACCTGATCAGACATAATCAATAAAAACGTCATCAGTCCATCCCAGCTACTGGTATAGCCAGAAACAGTCTCATTCTAAATAGCAATGTTCTGGTGAAAAATCTAATGGCCTTTGGGTCTTAGAGAAAAGAAATTTTCAGTTGTAAAAATACCAAAGGATTTGGAAGAGAATTCTAAGGGCAGTAAGAATCTGCATCCTGGCTGGGTGTGGTGATTCACGCCTGTAATCCAAGCACTTTGGAGGCCAAGGTGGGTGGATCACCTGAGGTCGGGAGTTCAAGACCAGCGTGACCAACATGGTGAAACCCCATCTTAAAAAAAAAAGAATCAGCATCCTTTTATAAAATACAAACTGAAATAGAACCACACCAAATCTGATCTGAAATGAGACTGATGACATTATCCTGGCATGACCCATTTTCCTCTCAAAGTAAGTAGAACTTAAAACCAATTTATTGTCTGGTATATTCTCCTTTCACAACTATTTGCTCAAAACCAATTTACATTTCTCCTTTTCTTCACTCCCGATTTCAGTTCATTTTGAAAGCAGGCATTCCCTAAAGCATACAGACATAAAGGGTTCGATGTAGCATTCACTACCAACACGGGGAGCAAGGAAAAAGGGCTGTGATTTATATCACAGGTTTTCTACTGAAAGCTCTTTAGCTCTCCCTGAAGATCCACCTTGTCACCTCTATCTTCTAGCAATGATGCAATTAAGTTTTGTTTGTTCCTGTTTTATAGCCAAGTATGTTGGGTAAAGAAAAGAACCTGGACAGCACATGTAAGTTTTGGTTACCTTTATGGTTAATGCCCTTATTTACAGCTTAAAGCTACAGGGAAAGAAACACCTTTTAAAAAGAAATCAATTAAATCTGGTGGAGTAAACTGAATTATCAAATCAGCAAAAGTTAATCTATTGGCTACTTTTCCTCAATTTGACATTCTCAAAATACTGCTTTCCAAAAAATACATATATTCCCCAGGTGAACCTTTCTGCTAGTGACATTTTATGGTATAAAAATACACAAATTGGCCGGGCGCGGTGGCTCAAGCCTGTAATCCCAGCACTTTGGGAGGCCGAGGCGGGTGGATCACGAGGTCAAGAGATCGAGACCATCCTGGTCAACATGGTGAAACCCTGTCTCTACTAAAAATACAAAAAAAAAAAAAAAATTAGCTGGGCATGGTGGTGCGTGCCTGTAATCCCAGCTACTCAGGAGGCTGAGGCAGGAGAATTGCCTGAACCCAGGAGGCAGAGGTTGCGGTGAGCCGAGATCGCGCCATTGCACTCCAGCTTGGGTAACATGAGTGAAACTCCGTCTCAAAAAAAAAAAAAAAAAAAATACACAAATTAAGATAATGAAGATGAAAGTCAAGATGAATATGCTACAATTAATTGTAGAATTAGAAATATATAGTATCTCTTCATATTGTCAGAACTAGTTTATAGGTATCTCTGATTTTTCTTTTTTTTTAAAGACAGGGTTTCACCATATTGGCCAGGCTGGTCTTGAACTCTTGAACCTCAGGTGATCCGCCTGCCTCGGCCTCCCAATGTGCTGAGATTACAGGCATGAGCCACCACACTCGGCCGGTACCTCTGATTTTTAATCATAAATAATACCTACCTATACATCAGGGCCTTGCCCTTTTCATTCCCCAAAGCAAAGTATCCACTTCTAGGAGAAAAATCCATGGTATGAACATGAGAAATATTCTTCTTTTTAATGACTGGGAAGTTTGAAAATACTGTACAGGAGGGAAGATGAACCTGTAGGAGATAATAAAAAGTTTTAAACTGCAACAACTTGTAACTCACGTTTCTTAAATCATCATCTTCATTCTATCTGCTGAAACAAAAAGCCCATTCTGATTGTAGTATACAAGAAAGTAGTCTATCAGTCCAGCAAACTATTCCAAAATTAAGTTTTGATCTTTAATTTTTTTTTTTCACTTTATTTTTAGAGTTAAGAGATACGACTGCAGTTTTGCTACATGGCTCTCTTGCATAGGGGTGAAGTCTGGGCTCTTAGTGTCACCATCACTCCAATGGTGGATACGGTGTCCAATCTTTGGCTTCCCTGGGCCACAGTGGAAGAATTGTCTTGGGCCACACATAACATACACTAACAACAGGTGATGAGCTTAAGTTGGACAAGTTTGATACACATTGTACCCATCAGATACTTCTCACCCCTTACCCCCGCTCCCGCACTCCCACCCTTCCAAGTCTCCAATGTCTATTATTCTACTCGCGTCCTTGTATACACATTGTAAAATTTGATCTTTAATGTGTTATTAACTGAGCAGGAAAGGAGGAAAGAGATAAAACCTCAATACAGCATCTAGCATGATGCCTCAGAGATTCAAATGTTTGCTGAATAAATTCATGAATAAACTAAAGTGAAAAGTACCCACTCTAGCTTAGTGACCACAGTAAAGAATGCTAAAATCTGATCAAAGGAAAAAGAGATTTTTAGACATTATGAAGATTCACCTGGCTAGATGGTGAAAAAAAATTAAACATTATATAGAGAGTCTGATTTTACGTATCTGAAGCCTAGGCAAAGTCGTATCACATATATTCTAATATCATAAAATTGCTATTTTATACTTTTAATTTTCAACTATTGTATATGCTCTTTGCCTTTTACAATTTCTCCTCAAAGAGGGCTGAACCATGAAAATCTAACTCCAAGTGAAACTGTTCCAATTTAGAGAGAGCCAAAAGCTCACCTCAAAGCCAGGCCTAAGCATGAGGAGGAACACACAGGGTCTTTCTCCAGAGTCTACTTCCTAAATTCAAGAGAGTTGAGACAGGTCCTCACACAATTCGTGGTTGAATAAAACCCAGGTGAGGAAACAGTTAGCTGTAGTCACAATTGTTAACAACACTCACTTTCAGAAGTTCTCTAGCTCTCCCAAGAGATACAGCATCTTCATGTTCTAATACATACAACTGTATCACTCAGCTACTCACCTGGGCAGCTTCTCATCCTCCACACTTTTAGGTCAGACTTTATACAATCAATTGAAGTGATTTTCACAGACAAGTGCTAGGTAAAACCCAACGATACATACACCTATTAAACTGGTTTCAGTCAGTCACATATTAGGCCAAATTCCCTCTGATATATACTTACTGACCATTTTGTCAAGAAAATACTGTTTACAGTGACTCTCCAAGCCACGTTCAATTATTCTCAACTTTGCCAGAAGGCAGGTTCTGCCTGCACAGCATGGCATCAATGTGAAGGCAATGGTGCAAATGAGAAGTGGTCTTGACCCATTAAAGCTAAGAAGCTGGCAGTACCCCAATTTGATCTTCCTGTCCGAAGTTCTTAAATACCACTCTCTATACAGGTTCTTCGAGAAATTACTTGGAGTATAGGTATTTCTTCAAGCATGTAGTAAAACAGATTCCTGTTTTACAGCAAGAAGCCACAACACGGATATTGCAAAATTTATTTACATTTAATTTGGGAAGGCGGCTATTATATAAATGTGTGATAAGTACCTTGGCTTAACTGTGTTTTTCTTGGATTACTGTTAAGTTTGTATCCTCCAGGCATGCGCCAACTATGAACAGATGATCCAAAGCATTAGGAGAGCAGACAATTAGGAGAAAAACATTTGCTGCAAGGGCTAAGGAGAAAGCTGTTCTACTTCTGCCTTTGTTCCCACCCTGTTCACCTGATACTATGAAAATAGGTTGATTCTGGTGTATTTTGATTAGGAACAGTCAGAAAACCAGCTCCCCAAACTTCAGAGTCATTCCAGGAATGTTGGTGAGTGAATGACTCTGACGTTTGGGGAGCTGGTTTTCTGACTCTTCCTAATCAAAATACACCGGAATCAACCTATTTGAATTATTATTATTTTTTTTTTAGATGGAGTCTATCTGCTGCCCAGGCTGGAGTGCAATGGTGCAATCTCAGCTTACTGCAACCTCCGCCTCCAGGGTTCCAGCAATTCTTCTGTCTCAGCCTCCTGAGTAGCGGGATTATTGGTGTGCACCACCACACCCAGCTAATTTTTGTATTTTTAGTAGAAATGGGGTTTCACCATGTTGGCCAGGCTGGTCTAGAACTCCTGGCCTCAAATGATCCCCTGCTTTGGCCTCCTGAAGTGCCAGGATTACAGGTGTAAACCAACACCCGGCCCCTGAATGACTTCTTAAAGATAATTATGTTAAACCAGCTGATATGGTTTGGTTCTGTGTCCCCACCCAAATCTCATCTTTAATTGTAATCCCCAGGTGTAGAGGGAGGGAGGTGATTGGATTATGGGGGCAGTTTCCCCCATGCTGTTCTCATGATAGTGAGTTCTCATGAGCTCTGACGGTTCTCTAAGTGTTTGGAAGTTCCTCTTTTGCACCACTTCTCTCTCCTGCCACCTTGTGAAGAAGGTACCTGCTTCCCCTTCCACCATAATTATCAGTTTCCTGACTCGTTCCAAGGCATGGGGAATGGTGAGTTAATTAAACCTCTTTGCTTTGTGAATTACCCAGTCTCAGGTCACATTCTTTATAGCAGTGTGAGAACTAATATACCAGCTTTTTATTTCCAACCGAAGTTGGGGGAAAATGGTCTCCTAATTTGGATTCATGTATAATGAAATCAATTGCTAATTACAAATAAGAGCAAAAAAATAGAATAATAAATAAGACATACCATTGTATAAGAGTGTAACTAGATTTTTTTTCTGAGACACAGTTTTGCCCTTGCTGCCCAGGCAATGGCACAATCTCAGCTCACTGCAACCTCCGCCTCCCAGGTTCAAGTGATTCTTCTGCCTCAGCCTCCCGAGTAGCTGGGATTACAGGCATGCACCATCACACCCAGCTAATTTTGTATTTTTAGTAAAGATGGGGTTTCTCCATGTTGGTCAGGCTAGTCTCAAACTTCCAACTTCAGGTGACCCGCCCGCCTCAGCCTCCCAAAGTGCTAGGATTACAGGAGTAAGCCAACATGCCCAGCCTGTGTAACTGGGTTTTTTTTACCAGAAGGTGGCTACTTATTTTTGTAGATAAATAGACAGAACACAGCACCAGAAAAATTGTGGTAAATACACACACAGTCTCTGATGTAAATGGAATTCCTCTAGACCATGGTGCCACCAATGCAACAAATAACCTACAAAACCATACACAGGGCCATGCAGTCACACAATGGGACAGCGTGTCCTTCTGGTGAAAGATAAATGCCAACTTATAGAAAACTTATTTTTAAACTTAAAATTCATAGAGGCAGGGTCTCACTATATTGCCCAGGCTGGTCTCAAACTCCTGGCCTCAAGTGATCCTCTTTCCTTGGCCTCTCAAAGTGCTGGGATTAAGGTGTGAACCACCACACCTGATCTATTTTTAAACTTTATCTCTGCAACAGACAGGGAATATCAGGGAAAGGAGGGGGGTTGTTTACAATGTCCTCCTAAGAGATCAGTAGTAACTACCTGCTAAATTCCCCAGTGTACTCTCTCACTACATTGTGAATCCTCCCTCAGGCCAATGATCCCACCTGGTTAAAACTATGCTGTGTTCTGACATCTATTTATAGCCCCCTTATTAGCACTAGGTGATCCCACCGCCTCAGGCTCCCAAAGTGCTGGAATAACAGGCATGAGCCACAGTGGCCAGCCTTCTAATACCATTTCTATCATGACAATTAAGCGTCCAGATATCAAAATTCAAGAAGTAAACACTCACTTATCCTTGATTTAATAGGTAGAAGTTCCATGATGTTCTACGACATCCAAAATTGTAGACGTAATAGGAATTTGACTTCTGAGTCTCCTACTAGTGCAACAGCTTAGATTTAAATTCACAGTGCTTTGTACTGGGATGACAAAACTAACTGGATCATTAAAAGGGATTGCATTTAATGATACTAACAATGTTCTACCAAGGCATTATGGAGCTGCTATGCCTGGCTTCTTTCCATTAGATATTATGGTTGACTGCCATTTAAAAACTGAAATTTGGCTGTTACTAATGAATTCCTTGTGTGATTCTGTCACAATAAAAAATATATAAATGCTGTCATGATCGCTGAAGCAAACTATGCAGAACTATCATGTGTCTTGCAGAACATATTACGTCAAGAGGAGACAGATCCCATGGTTTTCTAAAACAATTTACTAATATTAAAGTGTTAACAGGTTAATACTACTAGTACACCACTCCCATTAGAGGAGCAGGGATTTTAAAGCTGACTTGAATTAGAACCTTCTCATTTATCAAATGATTCATTCAACAGGGAGGCAATAAAATCCTATGCTATATTTTTCACACTCTTTTTCCGGCAAAACATTTCTTTTTGTGCGGCAAACCACCATGGCACGTGTATACCTATGTAACAAACCTGCACATGTATCTCAGAATCTAAAGTATAACAAAAGCAAAATTTTTTGTTGTTGTTTTTGAGACAGAGTCTTCTTCTGTCACCCAGGCTGGAGTGCAGAGACATGATCTTGGCTCACTACAACCTCCACCTCCCAGGCTCAAGTGAATCTCCTGCGCCTCAGCCTCCACAGAAGCTTGGATTACAGGCACCCACTGCCACGCCCAGCTCATTTTTGTATTTTTAGTACAGATGAGGTTTCACCATGTTGGCCAGACTGGTCTTGAGCTCCTGACCTCAAGTGATACACCCACCTCAGCTTCCCAAAGTGCTGGGATTACAGGCCTGGGAAATCATATGCAGAATCCCAGTATATACCACAGACAACAATGACACTGCTCTATGTGACACGAGTAGGAGCTTAGCCTCCTCCTTGATCTACATGACATATAAAGACCTGTGCAGAATCTAGGGCCCTGCAGAATTCAGTCAGAGAACCAATGAACTGCTAGAAAAAAAATGTGGACTCTAAATCACAATTCTGCCCTTTATTAACTATTTATTTTGGTCAAGTTAATCCTCTAAAGAATTGTTACTTGGCTCAAATTTTTTGTAGAACTCTGTAAATCTTTGTAAACTATACACTCTAATACAAAGCTGATGGCAGATGCAAGGCTTTTTACCAAGTGAGCACAATAAAAATAACACACTTTGTAAAGTGTGTACAATCTGGTAGTATACACATAAGAGCAGCAAACACAATACTGCTATTCAAAATTCTATTTCTTCTATATACTTGGTGCCTTGAGCAAAAAACTGTTAAATGAATGAGGAAATTGGTTCTGCTTGAAGGGTAGGAAACTTCACAGAGATGGGTGATATTTAAGCTGAGCTCTGAGACTGGGCAGAAAAGAGTTTGCCTGAAGCCAGTATCCTTAGAAAGGTCTGCTTACAAGGGTGGTCATCGCATGGTGACAGAGGACTTGACTAGCCTGCAGTTCCTTATACTAGCATGAAATGTTCCCTAAATGATATAGGTAGCTCACTGTGCCTAACCTATTTGTACAAACAATGCAGTTTATGCTAAACACCTGGCTTTTCTTCTGGGAATCTAGAATGTTGGTACATGCTAGACAAAGGGTACCTATATGAACCCCCAATAAAAACCTTCAACAGTGAGTCTTTAATAAGCTTCCCAGGAAGAAAACACTTAACACATGTTATCAGAGCTCTTTTACTGGAAGAATTAAACCTGTCCTGTGTGGCTCCACTAGGAGAGGACTCTTTCCTACGGACTTTACCCCATGTACCTTTTCCCTTTGCTGATTTTGCTTTGTAACCTTTTCACTGCAATAAATTTTAGCCAGGAGTTCAATGAACATATGCAGAGTCCTATAAGTCTGTCTAGTTAGCCACCAAACCTGCAGGTGGTGCTGAGGATTCCTGACCTCAGAGGGTATATTCACAAGCACTACCTAGCTATTTAAATTACAGTACTTTTATACAATTTAATTTTCAAGTTCAACTTACTTTCAAAACCTAAGAATTGCCTCTGTTCTGTGAAGACAACAAGCCTTTAAAAGGTAGATGAGGAAAGAAAATTGTGAAGGAATGAAGTGTCTGCCTTACAAACAGACCTTAACATTAACACTGAAAGAAACCTCTGAAAATGAGAACCACCACTTTAGAATGGTAAGAATGGACAGCAGACCTTTCCTAAAAGAACTGACATAATACAAATGTGTGGCTATTATGCATCCTTCCCACAACCACATCCAAAAGCTACAATACTCATAATTTCTACATCAAAAGAAGTATTTTAAAAACAATTCAACACTCTCCTTTCCTGTTACTCCTCCATGATTTCAACTTAAATTTAAAAATTAACAATGATGAAGGGTATGAAATATTTACCAATCTGACTGCTTCTTTCATTTTTTCTGAAGCAATTGCCAAGATTTCTGTAGTTGGATTGAAGGTCAGAGAAGTAACACCTGTAACCAAGTTCATTATAGCTTTTGTTGGCTTTGGGTTTGTTTCTTGGAGACAAGAATCTTGATTGTATATATTTACCACTCCACAATTAGAACTACAAAGAGAAAAGGGATTAAAATAGATTTAAAAACAAGTAAAAGGGCTTTCAAAACCTAAGTGACAGATTTAACCTTACAAACTGGTATTTGCAGGAAACATATGTTACAAAGAGACCAGCCACAGCCACAATAGCCACAAATGTCCTATAGAACCTCCAACCAAGCAGGTTGAAAACGGAATTCAAATTCTCCCCCTTTTGTTGACTTCTTGAAGGCTGAACTTTACTGACTCTTCTTGCACCCTGTTTCCTTCACAGTCACCTCTTTTTCCACTGATTCTTATCCCTAGGATTCTATTTCCAACCTACTTCTAGTGTCTCATTCATCTCATTTACTCCCCCAGAGTACCTAATCACCCACCACATCCAAATCTGTGCCTTTAGTCCTAATTATGCACTGCACTCCTAATGGTCTGTTGCGGGGGGGCACATGCATATGATCTCTTCTAACACCATCACCCCTTCTCCTCCCCCTCCTTCAATGACAATTCCACTCCTCTGGTTGCATACAGGCCTGGACCCTGAGAATGTGAATGCTTCTCTCCCATTCTCCATCTTCCAAGCACTTACCAAATACATTACAAACATCCTGTGCCTATTCCCCTATTCCCATTCCCACTGTCCTGGTGACTCATTACCTGATGCATGCCTATTGCTGCAGTGACCTCAAGGCTCATCTCCCTGTCCCCTTCTTCCTCTTCTAAAAGCTTAAAGATTTGCTTCAGGTTCTTTAAGAACAACTTAAAAGATTCTAAAGGCTTAAATGGTGTTTGTCCAAGCACATCAGAATTCAATTACACTGAAGAGCAATTAAAACTAAATGAGTTTAAGCTACTAGTATTAGATTGTTTCCTGTATAGGCCCTTGAAAGGGGGACTAATAAAAAGTGATACAAAAAAGAGAGGGCAAGGACCAGAAAAAGACTAACTTCATTGTCTTCACAAATTTGAGTGAAGGTCATTTTTGCGCAGTTTTTCTTGCCCCACAAAGAGACAAATACAGATCTGTCACTGTCCTGCTGCCTAAGGCAGATGGCCTGGTCTCCAAGCTCCACAGCCTAGTTCTACTTGCCTTCCCTCCCAAACCAAATTTGCAAATGGTGGTAGGGATATATATACAAGCAGTTTACCCAGTTTTAACCTTGAGGGAGGGAGTGATCAAAGAGTAGAGAGAATGATAAGTTTCTGGACAGCAAGACCTCTTGACTTCCAACCCCAGGGAGGATTTGACTGAAATCATTTCATGGCTCAATTGGGTTTGATCTAAGAAAATCATAAAAGCATGTTCCTTAAAGTTACAGAATATATGGGTGCTAATTAGTGATTTAGTAAGGCAGCTTAGAATTACTGCCAAGTATCCAACGCCTCATCCTCCTACCCTGCATCTTCAGAATTAAGTGGAACAGAGCCATCTTTTCCCCAGTGTAATAACCAATTTTTTCAGTAATAGCACAAAATGTGTTCTAGATAGTATTTTAAAGTTTCTACAATACTAATAAATGGCATTTCCAAGGAACATGTTTTTTATTTATACCCCCAGCTAGATGAAGAAAAAACGTTTTAGGTATCTTTAAGATTTAAACCCAACTAAAGTTACTTATTCTATTTCCTCATCAATGACAAGAAACTGAAAATAATTATAGGAAAACTTGCTGTGATCAAACAGGTATTTCAAATATAGGAAAAAAATACAATAATATAAGGTAGGGCCAGGATTTTCTTTGCTACAAAAGTGTTCAACTGCAATTATAGTAGGCTCTCCTTACCTACAGGGGTTTGTTCCAAGACCCCCAGTGGATGCCTCAAACTGTGGATTACTAAACCCTATGTGTACTGTTTTCTCCAATACACACATCTATAAAAAAGTTTAATTTATATATTAGGCATAGTAACGGACTAAAACAATAATAATAAAATAGAACAATTATAACATTATAGTGTAATAAAAGTTATGTGAATGTGGTCTCTTGCTCTCAAAATATCTTATGTAGTATTTTCAGATTGTGATTAACACAGGTAACTAAAAACACAAACAGTGAAACTCCAGATAAGGGGGGAACTACTGTGTTGTTATTATTAAACACTGCACAAAGATGATAAAACACAAAAGGCTCAGCTGGGTTCACCAATTTCATATTACTGAATAGTTTATGTATGTACCATCTAGTTTATACTCATGTACCATCTAGTATACTCATGTACCATCTAGTATACTCATGTACCATCTAGTATACTCAATTCCCTATCATATTCTCATCAGCACAATGTGATTAAGGTTACAATAACCTCTCTTTACTTACCCACAAGCAACATACTGTCCATTCCTAGATGTGGCAATGCTTAATCCATATAAACTGCCTTCATCAACAAATCTGTTAAGGCACTTCCTTGAGTTCACATCCCAAACATAAACTTCTCCATCCCCTGAATAAAAGAGCCAAAAAAGAGTTTGTTAATTTTGCTTTAAACTTGAAAGGCAAGTAAACTGACCACTCTCAGTTCCTCTTAATAGTACAAGAGACTACAAATAGACCTCTTATAACCCTCCTAGTTCTGGAAAACTGGACTACTGGACTGAGAATATTTTTCTTTTTTTTTAGATGAAGCTTTGCTCTTGGCACCCAGACTGGAGTGCAATGGCACCATCTTGGCTCGCTGCAACCTCCTTCTTCTGGCTTCAAGCAATTTTCCTGCCTCAGCCTCCCAAGTAGCTGGGATTACAGGCATGTGCCACCACGCCCAGTTAATTTTTGTATTTTTAGTAGACATGGGGTTTCGCCATGTTGGCCAGGCTGGTCTCAAACTCCTAACCTCAGGTGATCCACCCGCCTCAGCCTCCCAAAGTGCTGGGATTACAGGTGTGAGCCACCATGCCCAGCCTAAGAATAGTTCTTGTATACATTCACGTATATATAGAAGAAAACTGCATCAATTAGTCACTAATAGACAATATCTTTAGGTTTACAAGGAAAAAAAATCACAATTTGTTGGTCTGAGTTGAACTTTTAGAAAAAGCTTCTATGTTTCACTCACATAAATTATTGGAGTAAAAAACAAAACGCCACTCAGTAGCATAGCTCTTCCAACATCTATCGACAGTCATTAGAGTACCTAACAGGCAAAGTTAGCAATTTAGATACCAAACTTTTAATGATGATGGAAGAGCAACAAGTGAAAAATGAACTAATCCAGACCACAGGAATTTATAATGAAGAAGACACACACAATTTATCTATTACCAAGTTATGTAAATGATAAAAAATGCTAAATACAAGCTTATGAATAAGCATAAATAGTTTACTATAATGACCCTACAACCGTCTCAAAAGTGGATCCTCACTATTTTACCTCTTCCTTTTCCCAATACCTCAATATCCTTCCTTTAGGAATATAATATCAATGAGCCTCTGTCTCCCAGGCTCAAGAAATTCTCCTGCCTCAGCCTCCCAACTAGCTAGGATTACAGGCACGTGCCACTATGCCTGGCTAATTTTTGTGTTTTTAGAAGAATCAGGGTCTCACTATGTTGGCCAGGCTGGTCTTGAACTCCTGACCTCAAATGATCCACTTGCCTCGGTCTCCCAAAGTACTGGGATTACAGGCATGAGCCACCACATCGGGCCTATTTTCTACTTTTTTGAGACAGACTCTTGCTCTGTGGACCAGGATAAATGACCAAAATTTATTCATTTATTTATTTACAGACAGAGTCTCATTCTGTCCCCCAGGCTGGACAGCAGTGGCGTGAGCACAGCTCACTGCAACCTCTGCCTCCTGGGTTCAAGCTATTCTCCCACCTCAGCCTCTCAACTAGCTGGGATTACAGGCCCATGCCACCATGCCCGGCTACTTTTTGTATTTTTAGTAGGGTTTTACCATGTTGGCCAGGCTGGTCTTGAACCCATGACCTCAAGTGATCCGCCCACCTCAGCCTCCCAAAGTGCTGGGATTAGAGGCGTGAGCCACCGTGCCGGGCTCAAAATTTAAAATGTAAAAAAATCCTTAGCTTCTTTCACGTCATTGACTTACCGGAAGAGGTATATACTTTCTTACTATCTGAAGAGAAGGTGGATGCTGCAACCCTTCCATTAATTTTCATGCTTCCAATCAGTTCTTTGGTCTAAAACCATAAATAATACTTATCAAACTGTTAGAAAGTGTACAGAAGAATCACACACGTAGAGTAAAAACAACCTAGTTCTGTTTTCTAGCACCTACTCAACTTTGTTTTTCCCTATAATCAAAAGGTCCCTCCCAACTGCCTACAACTTCTCTCCAAGTCCCACCTATGCTCCTCTACTTGGAGGTGCAGATTTTAAGGACACACTGAGTTAAGGTTCAAGAGTATCCCTGCACTAACGTCTTGTGCGAGAAGAACACGTAGCAATCATAATGCTTTACCTTCATTGACAGCAAATGCAAATACCCAGCAATGCCATTTATGAGCAAGAAGGACCCATCTGGGGAGACTTCAAAGCTCCTCACTATCTTCTCTTTCAAACCTAAGAAAGGAGATGACACAATTAAATAAAGTTTAAAATAGTTTTCAATAAAACTATGATCTATTGACAAATGAGTTTCTTACCTTTTGAAATATGTAAGTGACTCAAATTAAAGAAAACCCTGGCTCAGACCCTGAATAAGTCTAAACCCAGGCATCACTGACCCAAACGACCCAAACATAAAGTCACTACAAAGCACTTAGCAAACTTCTCTTCTTTATCCTGGTTGGCATTCACCATTTTACTTGTAGGCCAGAGACTTGGGTCTCTAAACTGTAAACGTATCAACTAATTTTCCAAATATACACAGTAATACCTCTAATTAACTAAAAGGATAAATTATATTTCTGTTACAAAGTTCATTACCAGAAGGGAAACACACTGCCATTAGAGACAGCCAAAAACATAAAAACATACATAAACTAGTTGCTGGCCACCTAATAAGCATCCCATGATGGACAGGAGTCTCATCTTTGTAAGCCAAAAAACAAAACTTTTCACAAAATGTCACTTTACTTAAGGACTGACTAGCATCTCTGGATGTGACTCATGTAACCAAATCATAGAAGAGCTAGGTATACAAACCAGTTGACTTATTTACAAAAAGACATGTCTCTTTTTCTGTGCCTGAAAAGTTAATACTGACTATACAAGAAACTCCTCCTAATATTGAAATGCTTACAGAGCCAAGTTACTCATTAAAAAGTTACCTAATAGGATGCGTAAGAATGCATACAACAGGCTATCTCCAAGGGAAGAAAGTAGGTGGCCAGGGAGACACAGCAGAAGAGTTTTCACTATCCATTTGATTGTACATATTAGATTTTTACACTATGTGAATATACTGCCTAGCCAAAAATCTATGTCTTTGTTTTTTAAATGTAAAGTTGCTAAGTTAAAATATCAATTAGAGATAAAGGATTTACAAAAATCTGGTTAAGGACCCTTGTTCTACTACAGGAAAACGCTGATTAAGGCTACTTCCCACTACTTCAAATTGGGCCCCACTCTAGTCCTGCCTCCCAAAGACTATATTCTAGTTCTCTTGCTTGGACTCATGTTCCCCAATATCATTTCAGACACACATTATATTTCCAAAACTGGGGTTACTTCTGCTGATGACCAGTCTCCTTATGATGAAAGGCACTTCACTATCCCTATTAACAATAATTTGAACTCCAGTTTCTGAGTAAACCATATGTAATGACTAAAGCATACTGAAGTAGTTCCAAACATAAGGAAGGTATCATTACATGATGAGGCAAGGACGAGAGGCTTCTTTTAGCACCATGTGAAGCCACAGCTGGAAACCCCTATAGGCTTAATCCTAATAGCACAGTATCAGGCAGTGGAAATGTGAAAGTAGAAAGAGAAAAGGAGAAATACTGGGAAGGAAAGATCAGTGCCATGTCTCAAAAGCAGTTGGTGACTGGACACACACTCCTGCAGACCTAGCAGATCCACGGTAAAGATCACTAACTGTATGTTGGCCATGTACTTTCTCCCAAGAGGGTGAAGACAAGGAGAAGCCGAAGTCCATCACTTTTGATTAGTGAAATAATATGTGAAAATAATAACTACTATATTTTGTTTTCTATTTCAATATGAGAAGATGTTTTCAGGCTTTTTAACTAAGTGAGGTCCATGGACCATAGCATCACCATCACCTGAGAGAATTAGAAATGCAGAATCAACCCACCAAGACCTATGGATTCAGAATCTGCAGCTTAATGAGATCTCCAGGTGATTCACATGCACATTAACGCTGAGAGGCTCTAGCTTAGAGTATAATTAGTTAAACCAAGGATTTACTCAGAAAGTATCATTCAAAGTGTCAGGAATACAAGAAAGCAAAGATTGAAAATGCTGAAACATCATAAATGTTTCTGAAATTGGCCCCATCCACTTTCAACCACTAGTAGAAAAATGATTGTACAGAGCTACTCTTGTCCTTTCCAGCTACACGCATGTGCAGTTTAATAGGGAGAGCACCAGTGACCCGTGCCATACGCCAACACTACCTCCTGAGATTAGCCAGACAACCTCATTAGAAGGGCTTTGGTTCTCAAAGGATGCATGAGGGAAATACAGGAGAAGAATGGGTATGATAGAGGGCACATAAATTTTCACCTATTAAAAAAGCATTGTTTTTTAAGTAGTTCATTCTTTAAAATACAGAAGTACCTCCAAGAGCAGTGCTTTATTCCCTTTAAATATAAATTAAAGTTTTATTATAAATAACACTAACACTAGAGGATATCCAAGTTTCCTGAAGACCAGAGAGGTAACAAAGTTTGTCCAGACAAATGGAACCCAGGTCTTCTAGCTCCACGGCTCATGCTTCGTCTGCTGCAACAACTGCTAACTTTACAGCCAAGTATTTGCAATTGCTTGTCTGGTTTAGGAGGAATATATATTTCCAAACTATGATCATTCCTAAGTGTTCAATAAAAAAGTTCACTGGTTTCATTCAAACGTGTTATCTCAAAAGCACAATGACATTTTCCAAATACTATACCTAAAGAAACTGTTACTTTTAAGAATCCTATGGAGTGAAAAAAGTAGTTGTAAACACTGTTACATAAACTCACCTTAGGGGAAATGATTGGTTGTGTATGTTCAATACAAATCTTACCTCTCACTTGATGCACAGGAATTAACTTTCCAGCTAGCATGTCATACACATAAAGAACCTTGCTGTGGGTACTTGTGGCTAAAACTTCTTCCCCATTAGCACTAAAACAAGCCTTAAAGATTGGAAACCTTTCCAAATAGATGCTCTGGATTTTAGGATTTGTTTTTCCATCAACCTGTAAGGAAGTACAAAATGGTTGTTTTGATTATTTCCATGGACCCTGTATCCTGGTAGTATATGCATTTCACTACAAGCGTTCATTTAAAAATACATATCCAAGGGGCTGAGGGTTGAGTTAAGTAGCCAATGATTTAATCAATCATGCCTATGTCAACAGGCCTTCATAAAAATCTTAACAGAAGGGGTTCAGAGAGCTTCTGAGTTGCTGAACACCTGGAGGTGCTGGGGAGGTGGCATGCCCTAAGAAGGCATGGAGGCTCCATGCTCCTTCCCCATACCTTGCCTTACTAATTTCTTGAGTTTGTCCACCCACAGATAAGGAGATGGAGTCAGCCCCATCCAAATTACATGAACTGGACCAAGTGTTATTCTCTAAAAGAAAACTGGGATACCCTATCCAAAAGGAGATACTGTGAAGCATCTGCAGGACTGAATGGTTACATCTGTAATCATGTGTTCACCATCTGCACCCCTATCAGAGAGTAACATCCTGAAGTGAAGGGCCAGGTCTGTTGTTTATTGTTGCAACCCAAGAAACTGATGAGTACATCAGTGTTAGATGAAGAAACATGGAAGACCCAGTAAAATCATGAGTTCATATAATCGCTTTGCTCAAATAACCCACCAGAAAATTTAAAAAACACGTTTTTGTCGAGATACTATATTCACTAACATGATTAATCATCACTTCTCAATTATTTTAAACCAATATTTTACTAAGTTTTATATTCAGTGGAAAAAAACACTTTCCTCCAAATCCCCATTATGGCTCCTTGTACAATGAAGTCATACAGGTGCATTCAATAAAAATGTGGGTGGGCAAGAGATGGTGAGCTACCAAAACTATGAACAGGCAAGGGGTGTGCAGCTGTGATTGACAACAGTGACAATAAACTTTGGAGCAAGAAGCAAGGGCAGTATGCTGACTGGATGTTCCATTTAGTATTCCCCAGCAAACGAACTCTCACTTCTGTGAGACTTAGCTACACTTTGGGGTATGACATTTTAGCCATGAATATTTTTTTCACTGTTTTGGCATTTTGGGTTGCAAATGTCTCGTTCTTAAATAAAAATAATACATTAGAAATAAGTAAATAAAGATGCATACCTGAAATAGTGACACAGCGTTATCTAATCCAGCGACCATCACAATCTGTGCACCAGGATGGAACTGTACAGATGAGATCCGAGCAGCAGTAGGACGTTCAGCATTAGCATGCTGGCAGTTCTTCATCTATAGAAAATGAAAGCTGGGATTTTATCAATTCAAATGAATTAACATTGTTTTCTTTACAGCACGAAGATATTATCATTTATAATGCAGAAAAAAATGCACTGGAATGGTAAACAAAGGACCACAACTCAAAGAAAAAAAAAGGACCACAGCTCTGGCACCAACTAGCAAGTCATTTTACCACACAAGAATCCATTTTTACCATCTTTCAAATAAAAAGATTAAATCATTAAAGTGCTTTCCACATTTAGAAGTCTGAATGTATTACTCATTCCTGGAGCACTACTATGTAGTCATTTCGCCAAAATACATCCATTTGTGTTAAAAGACTTTGGCTTCTGGGGAAATTTCACTTAAAACGTCTACTTTGGCACGTGGCACCTGTGCATTCATGGCACAAATGCAAGAGGTACTGTGCAGTTGTCCCCACAGTTCTGATTGGCACAGATTGCTTACTTACTTCCTTCTCTTAGGGTACATGGTTCCAGGTTTAAAGTAATGGTAATCTCATGCATCACCTGGACTATTTTGTTATTTATTTTGCTTTTACAGGTTTTCCCTTGAATTTTTAAAATTCAGTTAAAAACAAAAGTATGTGTTTTGTTTGTAACCAATGAAGTTACATTTTTATGGTAACTTACATATTTAATGGAAGTGAATTCACCCTGTGAAGGGCTAAATGAACTGTCCTCATAAGGTAGGAGGAGACAAAACCACTCTATCTCCTAGTAATTTATCATAATAGGTTCCCCTGCCCCATCTAAACACTTATGCCATTGTGTAGTAAGGAAAGATATCTATGTCATAGACAGATCTGTTAATATGACAGATATGTAACTAAAGTACTATGCTAGGTAGGCAATTGGTTAGCACAATGAACAAGCCAGACATGGTGATAAGTTAGAAAGTGAAGAGTGTAGACCACTTTAGAGAAAGTCTTGTCTAAGATGCCATTTGAGCAGAAAGGTAAGAATCAGCTAGTCATTAGGACTGCCTGAAGACAAGACAGGCAGAACAAAAGGGCAAGAGCAAAGGGTCACACGCAAGAAAGGACTCAGCATATTCAAGAAACAGAAAAAGACTTGTATGACTCAAGAGAGAAATCATGGAAAACAGGTCTGAGATGAGGCTAAGGATGCAGGCAGAAGCCAGATTGTAAAGGGCAGTGTAGAATACAATAAGGCATTCAGAAGTTTTCAAAAAGCAAGGAGAAGTGACATGACCTGATACTTTATTTTTATAAGATCCCTCTGGGCTGCTATATGAAGAATCATTTAAAAAGAGGTAAAGTGGCCGGGCGCAGTGGCTCAAGCCTGTAATCCCAGCACTTTGGGAGGCCAAGGCGGGTGGATCACGAGGTCAAGAGATCGAGACCATCCTGGTCAACACAGTGAAACCCCGTCTCTACTAAAAATACAAAAAATTAGCTGGGCATGGTGGTGCACGCCTGTAATCCCAGCTACTCAGGAGGCTGAGGCAGGAGAATTGCCTGAACCCGGGAGGCGGAGGTTGCGGTGAGCCGAGATCGCGCCATTGCACTCCAGCCTGGGTAACTTGAGTGAAACTCCGTCTCAAAAAAAAAAAAAAAAAAAAAAAAAAGAGGTAAAGTGGAAGTAGAGAGCCCAGTCACAAAGCTTCTGCAATATGCCAGATAAGAGATGACAGCAGTATGGACTAGGCTGATGCCAATGAAATGAAGATAAACGAAATAGGATTCCTAGAATTATTGGGAAATTTATTTATTAATTTATTATTTTAGAGACAGGGTCTTGCTTTCACTCAGACTAAAGTACAGTGGTTCCATCACAGCTCACTGTAGATTCAAACTCCTGGGCTCAAGCAATGGGAACATAATACCTCTTGAACATTTTTGCAAAAGGAAAAAAAAAAAATTAAGTATTACCAGGGTAAAATGACAGCAAACATATTTAATCCGACAGATAATAGGAATCCATACATCTGTAACTGGGAAACAGATTAAACTGCAGAAGTAAGTAGTTGGATAGGGTCCCCCAACTCCACTGACTCTCACCTTCAAGATTCCTCTTGGAAGAGAAGTTGATGTGGATACGAAATTTCCGGTCCTTTGCAACAAATCATCTTCATCCTCTTCACTTTCATCTAAGTCAAACAAACCCAGAGGGCTGACCTTTAGAATCAATGAGCTGGCCCTTCTCTACCCCAAACTTCTATGAATATATTTTCAACATCAACTCCCTTTCCAGCCTCCCAACCTCAATTGCTTTTTTTTAAAAAAAAAATGAAAAAAAAAAAACCGCAAAAAAAAAAAAAAAAAAAAAAAAAAAAAAAGGAATAAAGAAACACTTAAAGGAGAAAAAAAAGATGACACGAAGCTTAACATCCATAGTTAAAATCAAAGTTTAATTCTGGAATGAAAGACTAACACATACACAGATGGTTACTAAAACAAGATGAAGTGAAATAAAAGTTTAAAGCCAGCATTTCATTTAAAAGAGCAACTCATAATTATGGCAAAATTGGCAATATGTTGGCTACTGATCTGGCTTAACAACTCACATGAAAAAGAACTAGAACTTTTAGCTGACTAAAAGACCAATGTCAGCAATCTATGTTTCAGAACTTCAAAAAGAGCTGATAGGGCTGCTTTTCCCCTGGAGATGACTGATGATTCCAGGGGAGACAGCTAAGAAGCTGGGCAAACTTAAAACATTTGTGGAGCTAAGAAAGCAAGAGCTAGCTCTAAACTTCTTGACAGCATCTGGTAAACAACCGGATTTTGAATTGGGGCCACAAAAGGCTACCCCTAGGATTAAAGGTGAAATCAGAATTATAAGAAAATCTTCCAAATACTGAAACTCAGCTTTGAATCTTTACAATTCCTCATTAAAATAAGATGTTCTGGGATTGCCAGTGTCCCCTGCCAAGCTATCTACCTAGAACTAAACATATACACCACCATTCTAGATCTAATTAATCTACATTATTTTTAATATGCAATGTCCAGCAATATAACCAGGCAAATACTGACAAGGTAACTTGACTAAAAACAAGATTCCTTCAAGCTCTAAAAGCAACTGGCTAGAAAAAAGATGGTCAATCTCTACTTAATAACAGATTGTCTTTTCTAACAGAATTATATAAAACACTGGCTCTTTGCATGGACTCCCTGTATTTACATACCATGAGAACTAACAGGGCAGGGAGAAAGGGGACAGAAGTGGTGGTCATAATCAAATTGAAGCTCATCAGACATCAAGGATGCTAAGGAAGGAGCTCCTACATGATGTAAGAGGACATACTCTGGACTCTCAAGATTTCAGAGGTTAATTTCAAGTCTAAAATGTGTAACTCCAATCACACAAACCAGATTTTAGCTAAGCCATCCATATTTATAAAAGCTAAACTCAAAAGACTGAAAAAGAAGAAAATAGCTACAGTACAAGCTAAACTTAAAACCTACAATCAAAAAAGATTTTTGGGGGTTTTTTTGAGACAGGGTCTCACTGTCACCCAGGCTAGAGTACAGTGGCACCATCACAGTTCATCGCACCCTAGACCTCCTGGCTCAAGCAACTTCCCACCAGCCTCCTGGGTAGCTGGGAATACAGGAACACACCAACACGTCTGACTAATTTTGTACTTTTTGTAGAGATGAGATTTCGCCATGTCACCCAGTCTGGTCTTGAACTCCTGGGCTCAAGCAATCCACCAGCTTTGGGCTCCCAAACTGCTGAGATTACAGGCATGAGCCACTGTGTCAGGCAAGAACTACCAGGTTTTAATGAGCTTCATAAGAACGTTCAAATAATAACAAACAGGAACAAGGACTTACGTACTAATTTAAACAGAGATATCGACACTCACCATCTGAAGATGATTTCCGCTTATTAGTCTCTGCCCAGGCAGGTACTCCTCCCATGGCATGCTGGAATCTAAGCAAAAATATATGAAAAATAAATTTATGGCAACCACTACATGTCCATAAAGCTTGATACAGTTAAAGCAAATAATTTGGATCACCCTGTATAAAAACTCTTCCAAAGAAGTAACTATCTTTAGGAACAGAAGTTATTACCTTTACTCACAGAGAACAGTCCCCACCCGCCTATATTGGAAACTTTCATGAACCTCTGCCCACTTAAACTAGTCCTG